CAGCACAGGATTGCTAGGTTTGCAAGAGCCACAGTATTAGTCATGTTTTTATTTGTACACCACCTGCATGATCCATTCTACATTGCAATCTTCTTTTCCTCAAGACACCCAAGGACATGACATTTTATTCCCATGCAAGCTTTTAACACTGCCTACRTCTCCCCCTTYCTGTGTAATTATGAGAAAGGTTCAAGTACTCTACTGCCATAGCAGTGTRCACCTGTACACTCATTACCTTAGCAAAACTAATAGCAATCATTTGTTGAACACAAACACAAGAAAAAATGCACGGGATACATATCACAATCCAGCAGAACCCATAAAAACCACCATGCCACTGATAAAAGGTCCCACAGCATAGGAAACCAAAAGGAAGGAGTCCAGTGTCTGTAGGAAGAGAACTGCTTCTTCTGCACTTGGAAATCAGTGGCTACTGTTCCAGAGCTCAAATGGCCASAGCTCCRGSGACRYGCAGTTKAGGCAGGAGGGAGCCCRTCAGCTGGCAATGCTGACTCTGACATTACTGAATGTCTTTCAGCACAAACACAACAAGCTTGGTASRCCAAGAAGGTGTTCTCTGGGGCTGMTGCCACTCCTGCAMCRCACRTTARGATGTCAGTTCTTYVTTRTAKYTGCTTCAACATCCTWCGTGTGATCTCTGGGTTCACTCACGTGCTGATGGCTGGTGTCGTGTCTTTACCTGGGGTATCATGGTGTCRCACTGGTCTCTCTGGTACAGTTTTACCARGTGAGCAGGCACCGCCTTGGACCTGTCAGTGGTAGAACACAAGCATACCCTCTCCCCCAGGTTAGTAAATCATCAGGGCCTCACTATGGCACACCCAATTGTAGAATCTTACATAAAATTTTTGKAAATTGRTTCTGCACATGCAAAMCTTCAGAACAGTATCCCTCTGCCAGGGATCATAATTGAAGATCTGTGTTGGAAAAATCTACTGTAAATATCACATTATCTAATTTGTCTTGAGGGGTAAGGTTCCCCCTTTTTCTATTAATAACATGCACTTCTCTTGGTATGAACATCAACACAGAGCAAAACAAYACAGGTAACAAAACAATGACCTCACCACATGCTCAGTGTTAGCACCAAGCAAAAACAAATAAGGTAATACATGCAATCAGTAGTACACCAGTGAAAGGATTGTGATTTAGAAAGATGCATTTATCAACTGCCTAAACACTTCCCTATTGCCCAGGGTCTGCAATAGCTGGCTACCCACATTTCACAGGTAGATCTGGAGAACCTTTCCCAGGCAAAGTTTCCAAGTTTACCCTGAAGGGGTTCCAGCTCTGATAAGCCCAAATTGGCAAGTCAAAGTGACTTCATTACATTTTGAGTGCAGAAACACSTSRGTCWGTTGGTACTTCCCAACCAGCCAGGGCCAGGGCTTGGCCAGAGCCTAGGCCTCAACTGGGAGGGATTCCCTAAAATATCCTACATTCAGGCTTCTAACAATCCAAATTCTGAACATTTCTTAAAATTATACATTTCTTGCTGATAACTTCAATTTCTATACATCTTAACAACTCATGTTCTTAAACTATTGATCACCCATTTCCATCAAAAATGTTTCAGTGGGTTTCATCTTCTCTCTATAACAAAAAAAACTTAATATTTAATTTTAAATGAACATATTAAAACAAAACTTCCACTTAATTTCATTTAAACTGAATGTCATTCAAAAGCAACATCATCTACAACTGACATCAGATAACAAAAATTACATCTGACAGAGCTTAAACTTATCAGAACATAAATGTAACTTCACTAACACTTAACTTCAGTTTAACAGATCTGAAAATMTACAGACCTCAAACTTAGCACCATTTAAGTTTAACAAAGCTTACCAGTTAATGACACTTAATAGGTAGCTGAAGCTACTCAGCAATTGATTACCTTAAAATTTACTATAACACAGTAGTAACTCACTTACAGGCCTAAGTGACAAATCTAAAATACCTGGGAAGTATCTTACTTGCTGCAGCACTTTCACACACACACACACACAGACACAAAGAGTCCGTTCAAGGTCCACCCGTGGCAAAAGGTTACCTTGAATTCAGTGAAGCACAAACTTCAGACACCTTTGCATCTCTTCAGTGGGTACGATGCTTAACACCTAAAAGTTAAGAAAACTAGATTCAAAGTTGAGAGTGTTACTTTCAGAGTTTCAGGTACAACACTCTGAAGTCATTGACTTCACTGTTACAATAAAGCAACTGAACATCTGTCACAGCAGGTAAACATCTATGAGCAATATCCAAGCTCCTTTTTGTCTTTCTCATCAACTTTCTTTTTCCTTTCTCTCTCTCTTCTTTTTTCTTTAATTTTTTTTTTTTTTTTGGAAACAAATCACAACGTTGTAAATTAAATAGCAGCAAGATGCAGCTCTACCAATTGACATCATTTAGTTTAGAGGATAGCTAATGGTAGCTAGAAGCATTCTTGAAAATGCCTGTTCATTCAATGTTCATTCAATGGAATAACAAAAAGGGTTTAGTCCAGCAACTAATAGGACACAGTGTGCTGCCTGAAATTAGTTGCTTTGGCATCCCAAGGACACACAGCTGGCTGGGCTAACAGCCATTCCCAAAGCTTCTGTTGGATAGGTGCCAACAGGTTCAGCTCCTTGAAACCTGGCCTGTGTACAGGAAAATATTAATTTAACCCTGTAGTGTTAACTGTGATGCCTCAGTTTTATCAGAGGTGGATAACATTATAACCTCAATTTGCACATCCCAATAAAGCTGATGCAATGTATAAAAGTGAGCAGAGCAAAAATTACCCATTCAAGGTAAACACTGCATATACAACTATTGAACTTGCCAATCAAAGGACTGACTTTTCAACACATAAGCAGCCCCTCAATGGCAAATGTACATGCCAGTAGCATAAAGACAGAAAGGGGACACCGTTTCCTATCACACCGCCTTGAGACTGCCCCTCCCCTCTAACCCTGCTCACGCTCCCTCTCCCGGTCCCAATCCTTAACTTACCCACCAGAAACCTCAGTTTCAGATATCATCTTTGATGCGGGACAGCTGTCTTTTGTGAGATGATGAATCTACTAAAAGAAAATTCATTGAATCRTACTTCAAATTGTACTTGACTCATTCTGTACTTTCAGGAAGCTACAGTGCTCCTAAAGAGAAAAACCCAAACAAGAACAAATTATAAAATCACAACCCCAAAGACTCAGCTTAAAATTAATACTTTCAATAAATATTCCCTGTGTTCAATGCCGTCTTTTTTGTGGGGCCATCAAAGCCTGTTGCTTTACATGCCAAAAGCACCAGCCGCAACAAAGCCAACGTGAGCTTTGTGCTGGGAGACCCGGACACAGATTCTGGGGCAGCAGCTGATCGGGGACCACCCCCAGCATGGACCCCACTCGGTGCACTGGGCTGTTGAAAGAGAATGAAAGTTGTTGAGCAGAGSCCAGAACGGGCCGAGTATCGGAGGCAACTGAGGTCTCAGTCCGAGCGGGCGCGGCGTGCAGAGAACGAGGGGACGGGGGGTGCATGAAGGGGGTGATGTTATGCAAAGTTATTGATAGGGGGTACGAGGGGACTGCCGGGAGGGATATTTATGGAGCTTTTTCGGTGTTCAAGGCGGTCGTCCATGTGGAGTGCGGGCGAGAGGAGCGGAATGGACGGGGGAGGCAGCTTGAGAGGGGTCGGGAAGAACGCGAGGGCGGCGCTGGGGTAGCCCGTGAGGTACGGGAGTGACGGGCGGGGTTGGGATCCGTACTTGRGCAACACGCCTGTTTACTAATCGGCCTCTTAGCTGAGCTCCAGTGTGCTGTTCTTCTCAGTTCAGTGTCTGACATGATTACGATTGGAATATTTCATATTGAACAGATTTTTACAGTCGGAAGTGAGTTCTGGGGGTTGTTCCCTGCGCTACGTGCATCGTCACGGTATTGCGGTATCTCCGGGAATGGTGTACACCTGAACGGGGACTTTTAGCGTCAAAAGAACAGAAACAAAAAGCGACGTTAGTTTGAGACTGTTWATACACGTGCGAGATTTGGTGATTTATTCCTGCCGCGTCCGAAGCTGTCGCGAAGGCGGCGCTGCCGGTTCARCGGCCACAGCATCACCTACCTTGGCCCCCGCCTATCCCGGGGCTGCGTCACATCGCGCTAGTTAGGGGGAGTGTTAATGTGCGGGCTATAGTGCACATCTGGTTCTGCCGGTGCTGCTGGAAACAGCCGAATGGTGGAGAAAGCGAGAAGGGGCGAAGGGCGCAGCGAACCGSGCGGGAACACAAACACCCGAGCGGCGGAGATGGGCGGAAAGCGGCCACAGGGCGGGTGAATCCGAAGCGCCAATCGCCTCTGAGCGGGGTGCAGAGCCCGCCCGGAAGTGCTAGSGCAGACACCGAGATGGCGGCGGTAGAGGAGGGTTCTGCCTGCGGGCTCTGCTGTGCATCCGCGCCSCCCTACACGTGCCCGCGCTGCCACCGCCGCCTCTGCTCCCTGCGCTGCTACCGCGCCCACGGCCCCTGCGCCGAGGCCTTTTACCGCGATCAGGTTCTTGAGGCGTTGCGYGCTGAGCGCTGTTTTCCCCAGGGCCCCGCGCTGCCCGGGCTGCGCGAGCTACGAGAGCCCCGGGATCCAGGGCGGTCTAGAGACCGCGGTCTGTGGGAGCAGCTCAGCGAGGCGGAACGCGAAGGGTTCCGCCGGCTGGTGAGTTCCGGGGAGGTCGCGGCGCTGCTGCCGCGGTGGCGGCCGTGGTGGTGGCGGGGGCGGAGGAGAGTGGAAGAGCTCGGGGACGGCTCGGAGGCCGGTGAGGAGGATGAAGAGGGCCCCGAAGGTCGGCCTGGTCTCGCCCCGCCCGTCCCGAGCTCGGTGCCCCCGCTGAGCGCCTTCCGCGCCGCGCCCCCGTCCCCCTTGGTACGGTTCCAGTTGCCGAACGCGCTGTTCGGTTACGTCTTCGCGCTGAGCCTGCACGGTGGCGACGAGACGCTGCTCCCCGASCTCCCCGACGCCGCCGTAGCCGCCTCGGCCGCGCTCCGCGACCGCCACCCCTTCTGCAGCACGGCCGAGGCTCTTCTGAGCGCCCGGCGCGACGCCCGGTCCGCGGGACTGCCCCTGAGCCCCCTCGGCGACAGCGGGGCGCTTCTGGCCGTGGCGCAGCTGCTGGAGGGTCGCGATACTCGCGACCCCGGCGCCGACGTTGCGGCGGCTTTGTGGCATTTGTGGCGGCTTCTGAGGGCGGGAGCACGGGCGCTGCCGCCCTCCGAGCGGGGCCGATTTCGTAGGGCCCGCAGGAAGGTCGGGTTCCTGCTGAGCTGGAGCCGGGGCGCCACCAAAGAGCTCGCCCAGCTTGCCCGGGAGGCGCGGGGAGTTCATGCCGAGGTGGCCACGGAGGAGGCGGCAGTGGCGGAAATCAGGGAGGGGCTGGAGAGGGTCTGGGGAGGCCCCCGGCCACCTCCCGGGAAGGGGCAGGTGGAGGGGGGCCTCTGGGTGGTCAAGGAGGGGCTGGAGGGAGCTGAAGTGGTTTTCAGGGGTCCCGAGCATCACACAGGCCTCAGTACCAATGAAGGGGTTCAGGGTCAGCAGCTGATCGAGGAGCTGGACTAAGAACAGGACATCCCAAGGAAACACCCCTGGGAGACAACCTGCTCGGTAAGGGATAGGACTAATGAAGATCCAATGAAATGGTTCCACGAGTGACCCTCCTGGCATCCAGGATAGCCTGGTGGAAGAGACCTGGCTCTTAAAGGAGTGGGACTGACCAACATCCAACAAACCAGCACAAGGAATGACACTCAATATGGAACAGGACKCCTTGAGGGAGCAGACTAATGAGATCCCAAGGAACATCATTCAGGAGAGAACCCACTCATCAGTGATCCATACTAAGGAAAATCTGGGGAAGCAGGCACAGACCACACGTTAAGGGCCAGGACTAATGAACATCCCACAAACCAATCCTGGGAATGGCACTCAACAAGGAGTGGGACTCATTATAGACAGGACTAACAAATGTTGACACCCCACTAGGAGAGATGCTGAATTAATTAAGGGTCTGGGCAAGTGGAAGACTGGTGAAAGAGGCCCTGAAAAAGCTGCGCAGTAAGGGACGGGAGCAACATGATCCCAAAGGAACAGAATCGAGAGACCTTGCTTCTTAATGACTTGGCTAAAGAACATCCAGGGAACAAACATGAACCCAAACAAGCTCCTTGTTCTAATTAATAAGTGTGGGCACTGATTAATAAAAAGGGGTTCTGATGAATGTGGGCATTGATTAACAAAGGGGCACTGTTTACCAAAGGGGAAAACTAGTTAACGAAGGGGGGCACTAATTAACAGGGGCATTAACAAAGCCAGAAAAGGGGGAGACCCCCAGACTTTATTATGAGTGATCCACACCAATTGAGCTCTGAAACCCCCCAACCAGGACCCCAGGTCCTGGGAGCGTTCTGGACATTCCTCAGATGGGGGGTGGTCCTGAGGGGATAATGCAGTTTGTATGAGGGGTCCTGGGCTCCTGGTCAGTGTGGGGAATCCTGAGAGGGTCCCGGGGGGCCCATTAGTTCATTTCAGTGGTCCCAGAGGAGTCAGTAAATGTAGGACGGCTTCCCAAAGGTGTCTCGGTAGATGAGAGGTGTCTTGGGGGTTCCACCATGAATGCACAGAGTCCCAAGGGGGTTCTAGGGAGCCCCTCTGTAGATCCCGTGCCTTGCAGGGGGGCCTCAAGGGAACCCTCAATAGATGTGGGGCAGCAGCCTGTGGGGGACGAGCTGGCACAAACCCCCCCAGGCCCCCCCAAACCGGTGCCGCTGCCGCCGTTCCCCCGTAACTGCTCGGAACTCTCGGAGCACAGCCCCCACCAGGAGCAGCAGCAGGGGCGGGGACAGACCTGGGGAGGACATAGGGGGGTCACAGGGGACAGGGGTACATGGTGGGGTCAGAGCCTGATCTGGGGGGGGGCGGGGGCAACCCAGGTACATGAGGGGCCCAGTTGGGAGACTCTGGGTGGTGGGGAGGGGGGACCCATGTGTTTGGGAGGGGGTGRGTCAAAGGGCTTTGAGGGGGTCCAGGGAGGCCCAAATGTTGGAACATGGGAGGAAGTGTTTTGGGGGGTTCAGGGGACACCCAGATGTCTGCTGGGCCTCAAGGGGGTCCCATAGGCTTTGGGGGGCCCAGGTGTTGGAAGAGGGTCCCAGGTGTCTGGGAAGACCCAGTGGGGGACACAGCAAAGCAGGGGCACCCCGGGGAGCTGAGCGGGGGCTCTCACCGCAGGGGAGGGTCCATCCCAATGTCATCAGCAACTCCCCGAGGTCATCAGGACGTCGCACCAGCCCCCACCAGCCCCCTGCCAGCAGCACCTGCCCCGTGGCCGTGGGGACCGTGGGGAGACCTTGGGGGGAAGCAGGAATTTGTGGAGTCCCAGGATCTGGGTGTCCAAGACTCAGGGATCCCTGGGGCCTGGGCATCTCACCAGCCACTCGAGGGTCTCGGGGGTCACGGCTGAAGAGGCTCCTCTGGGTGGTGGCACCATGGAAGATCCACAGCCCCAGGGCTGGGTGGAAGGGGGATGTCAGAGATCCCCCAACTACCCTGAGACCCCCCCCAGGAGCTCCTCACTGACATACCCCAAATTCGCCCAGCTCCCCCCAAGCCCATCCCACCCACATTCCACCCCGCTGTCCCCCCATTCCCCTAATTAATCACTAAATACCCCTTAGTGCCCCGTTAACCCCAAATCCATCCAGTTCTCCTCCAGTCCCCCAATCAACCCTCAAATCTCTTCCCCTTCCCCCCTATTAGCCCCAGAATCCCCCCCCCAATCCCCCCAGTACCCTCCTATGCCCACCGTAGAGCCCCCCACAGGCGGCCCCCCCGGCTACCCCCAGCCTGTTTTGGGGTCTCTGCAGGAGTAGCAGTGCTGGGAGAGGACCCCCAAAAGGGCCCCAGGCCAGAGCCCCGAAGACCCCCAGGAACCCCCCAGGGCCTGGGGGGGAATTCCCGCTCAGCTCCTGGGGAAATGGGGAGAGGTGAGACCCCACAGCCCACCCCCCCCCAAATAAACGGCGCCCCCCGCGGGGACCACAAAACCCCCCACGGACCCCACAGACGCTCGCACTGGCCCCCTCCACCCCAGGAGTCCCCCTGTGTCCTCGAACCCATCCCGCGTGCTCCTCCCCCCACCATGCCCCGTCCTGGGGGTTTTGCTCCCCTGGGGAGTTTCCCCTCCAACCTGGGACCCTCCTTTGCCTCCCCCGGTGTTCCCCGTCAAGTTTCCTCCCACCGTGTCACCCTCGTGCCCCCTCAACCCCCCATGTGCAGTGTCCCCTCTCACTCCCCCTTATGTCCCCCCAAGTCTCCCTGTTGCCCACGTTTGTGTGGTCCCCTCCCCCGTGCTCCCTCCCGTGTCCCCAGCACCCCAGCGCGTTCCTCCCCCGTGCTGCCCCTGCGTGCCCACCCTGAGGCGCCGCAGCACCGGGACCCCCTGAGCGGCCRCCACGAGCGTGAGGGGCAGTGACGGGGACCCCCAGAGCCGCTGCTGCTCCCCCAGAGCCGCCGCCAGCACCAGCAGCTGAGGGGGACATTGAGGGGGGATATCGGTGAAACGGCGGCCAAAGGGGGAGGCAGAGGCGGGGGTGATGGGGKGTGATGGGGGGACACGAGGGACGGGGGACGCAGGCTCGTGGTGGGGACACGGGTATGGACGGCTCCGTGGGGGGGCACAGACGGGGGACAACAGGAGCAAGAACCCGTAAACCTCGTGTGCACGCCCCTTATCCCAGAGCTCCCAGTCCCTCCCAGTTAGCCCGCAGTAACCCCAGCCCGCCCCGCCATTCTCCCCAGATCCTCCAGTACCCTCCCACGCCCACCCAGCCACACATTTGTCTTCCCTTCCCCCCCCCAGTCCCCTCCCAGTGCCTTCCCGTTCCCCCCATGCCCAGCCAGTCCTCTCTCAAGCCCCTTCAAGTGCTCCCCAGTCCTCCCAGTCCCCCCGCAGCTCCGTCGAGTCCCCGCCACTTCCCTTCAGTCCCCTGCCAGTCCCTCCCAGTCACTCCCAATTCCCCACAGTCATCTCCCAGTCACTCCCAGTGCCCGCGTACCCAGGCGCAGAGCCCGACCCGCTCCCAGTACAGACTCTCGGGGGGCTCCAGCGGGGGCCCCAGTTCGCCCCCCACAAAGAATTCGTACACGGGGCTTCCTAGGGTAGGGGGGACACGGCCTGAGACCCCCTCGGCACCCCCAGATACCCGCAGCCCCCCACAGCACGCTCAGCCCCTCCCGCAGTCCCCCCAGAGCCCCCCAAGGCCACTCCCACGGACCCCCAGCGTCGCCCACGACACGCAGAGAACCCCCAGCACCACCCCCTCCGTGATCCCCTCCAGCACCCAGACATCCCCCAGCCACCCCAACTCGTTATGAGATCCCCAAACCCCCTTCCCAGTACACACCAACCCCTCCCCAGCCCCTCCAGCCTCCCCCAGTTCTCTCCTCACCGTTGCCTTTCCCCTGCAGTCGCCGGCGGGCGAGGAGGACGAGCCCGAGCCCGAAGGCGACGCTGGACGCGGCCGCCGACAGCGAGGGGAGGAGGGGGCACAGGGGGGGCACGGGGACCCCCAGGGCCAGGGCCCCCCCTAGGGCCCCCCCCAGCGCCAACAGCCCTGAGCCGGCGGCAGTGAGAGCTGCGACCCCCAAAAGGACCCTCGAAAGCACCCCCACCCTGACCCCCACCCAGATTACACCCAAACCTCCACCAAGGACCCCCGAGCACTCCAAATGGACCCTTGACCATCRCCCCAACCCCCACTCAGACTCCCGCCAGGGCGAGTACCTGACCCCTCCCAATCCCTCCCAAGGGACCCTGAGCTCTGCCCCCCGCATCTGACTCCGACAGGGACCCCWGCCATCCCCTCCAAAGGGGGCACCTGAATCCCCACTCAAAGGGACTCCCATGCGCCCTGAAGGCCCCCCACTCACAGCCGAGGTCCTGGAGGAGTGCGGGGGGTCCTGGGGTCTCACCGGGGCTCTGAGGACAGCGGAGTCACCCTGACACCCCCCCTTTCTTTACAGCGGCGTCACCCTGACACCGCTGAGCCCCTCGGTCCCCCCCTTGATGTCACCTTTCACCACCTCTGACCCCACAGCATCCCCACCCCTCCTCCATCCCTCCTCCCTGTATCCCCAAATTCCCATGAATCCCCCCTCCCTCCCTCCCTCCCTCCCTCCCTCCACCATCCCACACGGCCCAAATCGCGCCCTTCCCCCCCATGTCCCCCCATCCCCTGAAGCCCCCCAGCGTCCCCCACTCACCCTCGGGGGTCTCCAGCAGCTCCCGAGCCAGTGTGCACCCACCCAGGCGAGGACGAGTGCCAGGGTGGGAGGGGTGGGCAGGGCCAGGGCGGGGGTCCCCCAGCCTTCCCCCTCCCCAAGGCACGTGCTCATGACCCCCACGAGCCCCAGCGGCAGCAGCAGCGTCAGAGCCCCCGCGCCTGGGGGGGCAGGGGACCGGGTGAGCCCCCACCTCCCAAAAAAGAAACCCAGGGATTCCTCCCCGCCAAAGGAAAGGGGTCCAGGTGTGTCTTCCTCCTCAAGAAGAGGACGCRGCTCACTGCCCCCCACTTCATCCACAAGGGGCCCGAGGGGCTGGRTGCCCTCCAATCCCCAGAAAGGTCCCCGGCAGGACCCCAGCCCCTCCCAAAAGGGGTCCCACAACTCCGGACACCCCTCTCCTCCCCCGCAGTACAGAATCAGAAACCCCCTCCCTCCCAAACCCCCACCCCAAAAAGGGGACCCAGTAGTGCCCCCNCCCTCCCAAACCCCCACCCCAAAAAGGGGACCCAGTAGTGCCCCCACCCTCCAAAAACAAAGAAGCATCATCCCCTGCCCCTCCCACCTCTTACCCCAGGGCCCCCCAAATTCCAGCTCAGGGTGTGGAGGGGCTCGGGAGAGCTCCATGGATGGGAGGAAAGGTCGGCGGGAAGTAGTGGGTTTTGGGGGTCCCGGAGSCCCATGCTCCTCCCCTGGGGGCACGGCTTGGCCATGGCACCACGCCCCTAGCCCTGATGACATCACTGCACCATGCATTGATTGGCTGTGGCACTGCCCCTCCCTCTCTTGAAGAGACAGAAACCTCTCCGGTGTTTGGTAATGTCACACCAGAGGCATGACGTCACAAAAGACATCATCAGACACAGCACAGCTACAGCACAAAACTCGTTTAATGAGTTACAAATGGGGACAGGGGCACACACAAAACAGCGGCGGAGGGACTTACGGGTCCTGGTGGCCCCTGGGGCATTGAAGGGGTCTCACACATCAGGGAGTCCTGGCTCAGGGGGGTTCCCTCTCATGGGGGGGTCTCACGGGCCAGGGGGCTGTGCATGGGTCCTGCACAAGGGGATCCTGCCCCAGGGGTCCCAAGGGTCCCGTCAGGGTCTGGAGTGTCCCATGAGAGTCCCTCTGGCACGAGGGGCCCACAGGGGTCTCAAGGGTCCCATGGGGTACTCAGAAGTCCTGTGACGGTCCTGCGAGTGTCTCTCTTGCACAGGGCGGGTCCCAGGAGATCGAGGGGAGTTTCAGGGTCACTCCACAACGAGGTGGAACCTCTCAGCCTCCTCAAACTGGGCGTTCATGGAGGCAGCCCAGGCCTCGAGCTCCGACAGCTAGGGGGGAACCAGAGGGGAAGAGGAGGCATCGGGAGAAAAGGAGAGTCAGGGGAGAAAAAGGAGGGAGTCGCAGGGGGCAACAGGACGAGGGGGAATGGAGACGGTCGGAAGGTATGGAGGGAGTCGAGGGGCTGAGGGTCCTGTAGGTTCATGGGGGGTCTGGGGATCCCAGGGGAGTATGGAGGAGGGGGTTATGCAGTGCCAGGGTGGGGGGCATTATTGTGGTCTGGGGGACATCGGGACACTGGGGGGGACATTGGGACTCCAGGGGAGTGCGGAGGGTCTGAAGGGGCTGTGGGGACATTGGACGAGTGC